AACGGGTGAACCAAGTCTTGGAACAATACTTACGATACGGCATCAACTATGAGTAAGACGATTGGACCACATATCTGCCGCTAGCCGAGTTTGCATATAACAACACCCTGCATGTGTCGACTCAATACACACCATTCTTTTCCAACTATGGGTATCATCCGAAGCTTGATTTATTGAGTCCGTCAACAAATCACAATCCAGCAGCTGAAGGATTTGCGAAACAACTATCAGAGCTTTAAAATATGTTGAAGCTTCAATTACAATCTGCTCAAGAATCCTACAAGGCGTCTGTAGATAGATTTTGGAATCAAGCACCTACTTTCAAAATTAGAGATAAAGCATGGCTTCTTCGACAAAATATCAAGACCAAGCGACCATGTCATAAGTTGGACTATCGAGGATTGGGACCATTTATCATTCAGAAGCAAATCAATCCAGTGGCGTACCATCTGGAATTACCGACTTCTATGAAGATACATCCAGTCTTCCATGTTTCTCTGTTGGAGCCTTATCGAGAGTCGTCTTTTCCTAGAAGAGTGCAATGCCTGCCACCTAGTATTGAGATTGAAAACCACGAGGAATACGAGGTTAAAAAGGTGTTGGATTCACGGCGAAGGTGGGGCAAGTTGGAGTATCTTGTTCATTGATACGGCTACAACATTAATGAGCGAACGTGGGAGCTAGCTGAAAATCTTGCCAATGCGCCGCAAAAGGTACAGGAGTTTCATCAACAACATCCTCATAAACCTAAGTCGGTTCGACAATAGCTTCCTTCTAAAGCTTGCTCACAGAAGAATATAAGAAAGGAGGAAAGCACCACCAAAATTCGTAGTTGATGTAGTTATTTTCTCCAAGATAAAGTAGAATTTTTTCAGTAGCCATAGTTTGGTCTTCTGATATGGATAGCCAAGAGATAGATACTATACCAGTCAGATTATCTCAACCACGAAGGCGACCCCGAGATGAAGAACCACCTACACCACGACGACGACAGATGATACCAAGTAACCGATCACTAGTGATTGTATTCGAGTTCGAGCTTGCTTACGATGGTTAGCCAGAAGGCGTATTTGCAGGACAATTTCACAATGAAGACACAAAAGTTCATGCTTGGTCAGAAGTTGAAGGAGTGGGCCACTACCATTGGCTTCAAGGGCCAATGAACCACTTACCTCATAAACAACAATTAGAGTTCATAGCAGATGTTATGCAACAGATCTTCATTTTCTTGCTTTGGTGCTGATTAACAACAACATTGCTTCTTAGAGACCTCGAAGCTAAAGGAGGAGGTGATGTTAGGGACATAGTCCTTAGAACCTTCTAGACATAAGTTTCTAGAACCTTCTAGAAGCAAGTCTCTGGAACCTTCTAGAAGCTTCCTAGTTGATAGAAGTTGCTTGAAAAGCTTCCTAAATAGGAGTATATATTGGAATCGAGGCTAAAGAGTTCTTCAGTCTCGACAACACATCTCTTAGAGCTCTAGTTCACCTCTCTGGTGTTGTTCTTGTATTCATCTGATTAATCTAATTCTTGTCAGTTCTTCTTGAACTTCTTGTTAGATCTCGAGCTTGTATTTTTGTGTCCGTGACACTATAAGGTTGGAGTAATGGACTGCAATACAAATTATAACTTTTTTAGTAGTATTAATAATGAAGTAGATATTTTCTATTTATGTAAAAAAGTTGAAGCATTCTTGATGGGATTCAATTGGTCAAATGAAGTATATAACTTAATAATTATGGCATCTTAGAAGATAAATATCTGATTGATCTTTGAAGAGTAGCATCAATATCCTTTTGTATATTTATTCTACTCTAAAAGTATGTAATAACAAGATTTAGAGCTTAGTTTATCTCTCATTTATTTGAGAATGTATACAAATATATATATATATATATATATATATATATATATATGCCAAAGATACATAGATAGAATATATCTTGAAGCTCTTTAGTGAACAGTTCTTTAGAAGTGTGATTTTGATGAGTTTTTTTTAGTGCATATTAAATAGGTAATAAGTATATCAAATAACTCTAGCCTAGAGATTTTTTAAAAGATGAATTTGATAGAGAAGGCATTATATAGTTTTACATAGAAATCAATACTTTTGTGTAGCCATGTTATTGCTTTGTAGAATCTATAGTTGTGTTCTTTAATGAATAATTTCCTCTTTAATACACATGTCAATAAATGATTTGTTGCAACATTCACTACCATTATCTATTTGGATAATTGTGACTTTGTTGTTGGTTATAATTTCTACTTGAGCCTTAAAACCTTTGAACTTCAAAAGAACATAAGTCTTGCATTTGATTACAAATATCCATATATTTTTTGATGTAGTTATTAATTAAAGTAAAAAAATATTATATGCTAGTGAGTCTAGTTAGTTTAAAAGATATTATATCTATATATATATATATATATATATATTAGAACTTATGTGGTATTCAAGATATTTGTTTGAAATTTCTTTTTATGCTTACTTACCAAATTAATATACTTTGTAGACATATTTGATTGATGATAGTTTCAATAGTTCTTTGTTCAAGTTCTTATGAAAGAATTTATAAAGTGAGTTGAAGTTTAATTATTCCAATTTTCTATACAATAGTAGAATTAGTTTGAGTTCTTTTGACTTTTCAATAGAGAAAGTAATAGCATTGAAAATACTGTTAGCCTTAAGAAGGTAGAACTCAATCATTCAGCTTTAATAAAGATTTTACTTATATGCATATGTCTAATGATACATGTCGACTTTATAAATTCTAAGATAAAACTCTAATTGGAAATATATCCTATTAAAAAGAGATTGCAATAAATGCTAATTACATAGAGAACATTGTTCAATGAATTTTATTTTTCCATTTGAAAGTTGCACAAATATTTTTTTTCCTATAATAGAATGAATTTGATCAACTGCATCTAAGATAGAGGTTTAAGTTATTAGTTGGATTTTTTAAATAATCTTAGAATTACTAGTGACATGGTGTATAATTCCTAAATATAGTATCCAAACTATATCTTAGGATTTACTAACCATGGCAATACATAAGTTTTGGCAAGAGCTAATTTTGTTTAGTGACTTAGAGTAGGATGCTTTGATCAAGTTAAATTCTGCTTTGATTAAGTTAAATCCTGCTTTGATCAAGTTAGATTTAATGAAGTAAGTTTTGATGACATACTTTGCACCTTTTGAATTGCTGTTGGAACTCAATTCTTGATTGGATGATTTTTTTCTTGTTTTGGAGATAATGTTGGCTTCAAATTTTTCGGCTCATTTCTTTTTGTACAGTTGCTTCAGTTTGATGCTGAGAGTCTTTATTTGTTCAACTATTCTCTTGATATCACATTGATCCTTACAGAAACTGCCCTTGCATGTATTATTCTTGCAATAATTACAAAAGGAGTGCATATTTTTACCTTTGCAGTATTATTTACTCTTGGCAGGCTTTGATGTAGTAAGCTTTCTATACTTCTGCTGAATTTGTGATCAAAACACTGGTTGTGAGCCGCCTGCTTGTGATGGTAAGGTGCTACGTTTCAATGGCTTTGATATTTTCTTAAGTAAAGAGCTTTTGAAACTTCGTCCTTTTCTGCTTCTAGTTTGAGAATGAGTTTCTCATTTAGCAATCTAGCTTCAATGTCATTGGAATGAGAGAAAATACCTTTAGTTTGATAGCAATTGAATTCTTTGTATTTGCTTGGTTATGAAGCAAGTACCAGTACAACTGCAAGGTCTTTTCAAATTGAAATGCTAATTTGCTCCAGCTGATCTCAATTCTCCTTGAAAGCTTTCACATGTTGCTCCATAGAGAGTTATTCTTCTTTTCTGGAGTAGACCAGTAGCATCAGCTTCCTTGATCCGCCCTTAGGTTTGTATCGATTGCTCAAGTGTTGCCAACATGCATAGGGATCTGAAAATTCTTTCTACTATCGTTGCCAGTGAGTCTTTAATTGATTCTAGAATAATATCACGTGCTAGCTCACATTCTTATGATTCTGCACTTGACATTGCAGATGACAGTGGACTTGTGCTATGAATCTAAAAATGGTAACGTTCAAGGATTCTCTTCACTCGTATTGCCCAAACTGAGTTGTTGTGAGCACCACCTGATTTGCTAGTGTCCGGAAGGGAGAGTTCTATTTGACTTACAATAGGCAAATTTCCTGAACTTGGATTTGACTTTGGGACTACTCCGGTTGTATCGGCAGCAATAGCTACTGTGTATGTTCTCTTAAGATTGCACCAACCTCATCATTTAGAGTTTCCGCCATGATAAGTGGTTCAAATCTAGATCTAGAAAGTAGCTATAGTACCGAGACGTTAGCCACTCTCTGATGCCATGAACAATTCCCAAAAGATGATCACTGATTCATTGAGTTTGATCCGATGCGTCCAGATGAAAGCAAAACAATCGGATCTGGTGTAACGAATGAGTCTTATAATGAGTCAAGGGTTATCATCATAATCTAACATAATCTCAGGTTGACTTCGGCCTAGAGCAGTTCTATGAACTTTTTCTGCTGCAACTCCATAGAGACGTGGTGGTTCTATCATCGTGGACGGCGTAAGGTGCTTGGGTGCGAGTTTTAATTGAATCTTTTCGATTCGAGCAGTTTGATATTTAACATTTTCAGGCATGTGCAGTTGAATGCTTTTTATAAGCCACCATTCACAATGTTACTGTATTTATCACTCCAGATTCAGCGTTAAGGTTTTGAAGCAATTGCACCAAGATTTGTGAACAGTTACGGTGTGTTGAATTTTGCAAACGGAAACATAATTTCACCCTGATGTGTCATCAATACAACGTACCCAATGGTGTAGCTGACACCATGGATGTGTAGCTTAACATAAAGACCCCACAAAGCATATTCATTACATTTGCAGAGACTGTGATACTAACTTAAACAAGATGCATTGAACGAACTTGATCTTTCTATATTTTCTTTCTGGTAACCACCAAAAGTAATTTTACCTCAAGGAAACCAAATAAAACATTGAAATGTGCACACAATATAGTTATATTATTCAAAGGATTTTCAGTCAGAAGATCACCGAAAACAGTGCGGGTAATTTCAAACCCCTAGGAACATCACACGACTGCAAGTGTAGTCACTTATTCTAGACCCGCTACGTACAAAGTTTGCTCCGAGAATAAGTCCAGGAATATTCAGCATTGGAAGCCAAGCTAATGAAAGATCATTAAAAAAACCCGCTGCAGCTTCAGACTTAAACCTGCTGCTTGCCTTTAGGATCCTTGTACATCTGGACAAGCTCCTTGACAACACGTTTAACGCTACCATTATGCTTGAGCATCAGCTGACGGTTCAAGTTGGTGTCGTAAAACCCCATTTCTTCCAGCTCTTCAAGCAGGGACTCCCTCTCGGCTGCCATGACCAGGTCATCAAGGGTACGTTGCAAGTCATACTCGTTCTTCTTCAGCAACATCTGATTAAAATCTCGCTGCTTGAAACCCATGGAATCAAGCGTCTCCAACAACGCATCTACAGCGTTCGACTCTGACTCGGCCCCTGCAATCATCACCATCTCCTCCTTGCCAGAATCAGCTGCTTCATCATCAAGTGTAACCACTCCAGGATTGGCAGTCATCTCTGAATCAGGCTCCTGAACCGGGATTTCGGTGATGGTGGCCGAATTCACCATGAAGAATTCGCCATCTTCCACAGAAGTACCCTCTACCTTTGCCTTTCCAGCATCAGTCATCTCGGAGTCCACAACGAGAGATTCCAAGCTTATTTCTGGGTAGCGCAGCGTTCCAGGTGCGACTTCAACTTCCTTTTCAAGTTCTAGTTTATTGCCCGTAGTCTCCAGCTCCGGAACATGGACATTTTCAGCTCCAACCTTCTGCACAGTTGCATCTCCGTCAACATCATTCTCCGTTGATTTAGGTGTGATCGTTGCAGGAATTTGTGCACCTTCCACAGCCTCCGGATCCATCATAAAAGCGTCCTCCTCAGAGGATTGGGATGATGCCATTAACGACTCCATCACTTGTGGAGATTGCTCATCCTTGGGAACAACATGGATCAAAACCCAGAAACGATGACCAAACTTTTGGCCAGTGGGAGAAACCAAGCGCCAGTGAGATACATAGCGCCCTGCTTTCTGAGGGGCTATAAAATCAACTGAAACCTCCGCTTCACCATCTGGAGCCAGACCCTCTTCAGGCAACTCGAGATCAACCGGGAGAACAAATCCTAAGTCATCACCCCCGACATGAATCAACTTGGTCGACTTCGGCCATGCACAAGAGCCACTGTTCCGCAACCGCCAAATTTTGGTGAATGCAGTTCCGGGTGCAAATTCCGTTCCGTCGAAAATTGTCACGTCTTGCACAAACCTAGCGTCCAACTTTCCTCCAACAGGGCCAAAAGCACCTCCACAGCGTAAGTCACTCCTATGACCGTGGGAACCGTGAAAACCATGGAAGGCATCAGGGCCGTGCATATGAGGACCACGCCCGTTAAAGAACGGTCTTCCTCCATGGGGGAAAAACGCCGGACACCGCATACGTCCACGTCCAAATTGTGGGTTCAAGAAATTAGGACGCCAGATTGGGCGTTCAATCTGCGTGTAGTCCTCAATTTTTCCACATTCTTGAAAGCATTGCTGACACAAGTCATAATCATGCTTCCTGAAAACATGCAAAAATATATATCAGCAAAGATTGTAAACAGGACGACAAACCTAGGTAATATTATTATTCAAAATGTCTACCAATTTCAATGCATACTAACTTCATCTGAGAACGGCATAAAAGAGTTGGAGAACAAAGGTGCTTACTTGTTGGATTTGTAACGACTACCAACAATAGGAACCATGCCACACACGTCACACTGAACCCCTACATGATGAACAGCAGCCTTGGCGTACTGGGCAGGGGCAGGAGAGACATGGTCTTTGTCGCAATTCTGACCAGGAGCAGCATGGTCAGGAGCTTGGCAGCCGGATGCAAAGTTGGGGAAATTTTCCGAATTAGGCTTTGGTAGTGAAGATGTTGCTCCTTTTGCTGCTCCTGATTGAGCAGAAGCGGCCACTTTCGTGATCGCCTCCATCACTTCAGATACCACCGCCGACGGAGCCCCCTTGATCAGAGGCTCACAAGCTTGTAAAATTTGTTGCGTGTAGTCCATAGTTTGCTGTACAGCATCCACCGACATCTTCATTGTATTACTGAAGAAATCCTTCAAGTCAGGCACCTTCAACTCTGTATAAGAGTGTGGACGACCGTGGCGATGACCATGTTTATGCTCCCACCGACCACCGTGATGGCCAGGATAGGATTCATGAGCAGTGACTGTTAAGCGCAGAGGATTCAACTCTTGAATAACGCATGCGTCATAGAGATCATGATCACCAGCCATGGTCACAACATCACCATCCTTGTCATTGTAATTTATGACGAGGTCAGATGAAGCAGGAAGCTTGAATGCTTGACGGATTGTATCCTCAAGTTGGCTGAAGTTCATGTCAGGCCCACCGCCAGGAACGGAGGGTTGCACAGTAAAGCGGCGCACAACATCGCCATGCTTGATCTGTTACCAAATTAACCAAAGAAATAAAGAAAAAACATTAGCAATAAGATCAAAATGCAAAATTCAATATTCAAAACTCTTCAACAACTTTTCAATGCAGATAAGAGCCCGACAAAATAAAGCAGAAATTTTCTGCACCAATTACTGTGCAACATAAAACCGAAGCACCTAGTGTGGGCATAACTCATTAGCTGACGAGAACTACAATCATAAACAAACAGCCAAGAAACGCTCTGCTGAAGCAAAATTCATGGCGATGTTCTTACAGCACACAATTCTCCACTCCGAACAAAGTTTCGACATAGAAAGGGACTAAGAGCATGAACCTTGAAAACGTAGGAAGCCATGTCCGCACAAATTTCTCCTCGGAACCACCGCGACGCAGAAGAAGACCGTAGTGAGCTCGCACAGAGAAAATAATTCCCAACTACACCGATGAAAGTCCTTGTCGAACAATAGAAACTCCGCGCGTTAAGACTTCTTCCTATCAATTACGTTAATGAAGCGCCCTGGACAAGGTTTCGGTAATCCTTAGCCACGGTTCCACACCGATTGCGAACAGATCGCAATCAGCCAATGATTCACACAGGCACGACGAAACCTCAAGGTCCTTCGGGAACCAACACAGGTCCCGGGAAGAAAGAAGACACTGCTTCGATCGCGTAAATGATTACAATTTGTGGTGCGTTCCTGTGATCCGCACTAAACACACACACATCACAGTGGGGAATAAGAAGGTGGAAATTTATGCAGCGCTGGTCGCCATTTATACGAGAGCCCCCCCCACCCCCTTGCCTCCTCCTGCAGCAGCTCCGCCATGCTTGAGGACCACTCTTCGCCGCTGGGGGTGACGGAGCCCCCTCTTCCTGGTCTCCTTCGTCCATCCCGAACGTTCCCGATCCCCTTTCTGTCATTCCTTCCGTGCCCTCCAAGGCAACGTCTCATCCATGGTCGGTTCGAGGGACGATAGTTCTGAAGCCTCTGACTGACGGAACTTTCGCTTCTGCCATCTGAGTGCTCCGGGGGTGGACGCGGCTCAACGACCGACGACGGGTGATAGTTCTGTCGACGAACGCGCCCGACCGACGATGGAACTGTTCTCGTTCCTAGTCTCCGTTGCTCCGACTGCTTACCATTGGAGACTCGTTGGATGAGATGCCACTTGTCCAAAATATCGTTGCACTCCGTCCAAAGTATCCAATTGGTGATGGTGATGCCATGATTCTGAATTACTGGAGCATTCCAATATTTTTATCAAATTAAGCTCGTGCTAAAATGAGTCTAAGACATGCTTAGTACTAATGTTTGTCTTAATCAGGATTTTACGTCTGCATGTTTAATGATGTGTTTCCAGCGGGAGGTGTTTCCAATTTGGTGATTTATTAGGAACTACCCACAATTAAGGCCATATCTCTTAAAATGTCAAATTTACAATGAATTAATTGTAGTTTTTGAACGTTGTTGCTGAGGATCTTGAATGGATGCTTGGAGGAATTTAGTGAGGTATTGGTGACATTAACTAATCCTAAAATGAAATTACAAAGAATTCAATATGAACAGAACATGAAAAAAAATTACTTTAAATAGGAATGATAAATAAATAGAATAATGAATTGTTTTTTTTACAATTTGTGAAAGACTATTTTGTAAGTGTTTGATTACACACACACACACACACACACAAATATATATATATATATATATATATATATATATATAAACAAAAATCAAAACAAAAAAACTTAGAAATTTAGTGGGAAGCATACTGTACACATAGTTTATGTAGTTTAATCCCAAACTGTGCAGAAAACCTTCCATTCTATTGACTGGGCACTGGCGGTTCAGTGTCCTTCCAGTGTAAAGAAGAACATGAATGCAGCCATCAAGTTATACTCCAAAGCCAATCTCTGGGAAGCCCATGATATAAAATTCCAGATGGCAAAATTTGAATCAAGCTAGGGCACTCAGCAATAACCTTCTGAAGATGATACACCGATTCTCTATGCACATCGTGTGACTTGAAAACTTATCTACAAGGTTTCCATGAGGACACTACGCCGGCTCTACGTACAAATGCAAGATATCGATTCGGCGTTGGGGCTCAGAAGCTAAAGTTTCACGGAGAAAACCAAAAAACAAAAAACAAAAGAAAAGAAAGAAGATCTATACAAAAATATGAAAATTGCTCCCATCACACAATCAATCCTGCAGGGACTCCTTCTAAGTTACTAAGTCAACGTATTCCACAAGATCAAACAGTGAGTGAACTATGCGAAGGAGGTGATGCAGTAATGTGCCCTTTCGGAAAATATTATGTCCACCATCTGAAATCGTTGGCCCATACCATTGCTACGTCCGCGTAGTTCTTTCTGCCGTACCCGTTCCACCATCCCACCTGCTCCTCCACAACTGTCTGGAACAGTCTCCCTCCTTCCTCGTTTCCTCATCACCTCCACCCTCCCTCCCTCGGCCCGTCTCTTTCCCGAGGAAATACATTCATGAATTTCCTTGACATAGAGTGTATGGTACATGTCTGCCTCGTTAGGCAATGCAGGTCTTGGCATAAGCAAATCACAACGGCTTTTTTGTCCCGTAGGTGTTCACCCCTGCGTACAAGTAAAAGACAGTAGTATTGGAATATAATGTCTTCATTCTAAATAAATATCAGGATTTCAATAGCTTCTTCAAGAAAACTATGACGGGATGTCATTACGGAAAAGATGGGAGAGGTGGACTTCTTCAAGGCACTCCTAGTCGGTTAATATGCACAAATATCCACGCAGATGTGTGTTAAGAAGGTCCAGTAAGTGCAGTGTTCCATGAATCAGCAATTTCTGTGGCTGGAGGTGACAGCCAATGTAACCGCATCAATTGTTCTTCACCACAAATGACATAAACGTACAAGACTACGCACAAACCATCACGTTCGTCCCTGACAATTTCCCGCTAAAAATTCACAAATACAAACAACGAGCGCAGCAGAGAATCGAAGAAAGAGTGTTACCTGGAATGCGGTGATCAAATTTCCCAAGCATCAAGAGCTGCGAGGACCCGCCCTCAATCGGCACCACCAAGCCAAGCCAAGTCAAGCCACGTTAAGCCAAGCCGAGCCAAGTCAAGCCACGTTAAGCCAAGCCGAGCCAAGTCAAGCCATGTTAAGGCAAGCCGAGCCAAGCAGATCCAAGCTAAACTTTCTTCTTCTTCTGCTGCTGCTTCTGGCCATTGAATAGGATCAAAGATTCTAGAAGCTCCGAAAACCCCAAATTAGGGCTCCCCAATGCACCATTCCTTCCTCCCTTTACCATCTAGAACAGGCAATGATGACGTGGTCTCCCAGCATTGGGTAAGACCCCTTATGACAGCTGGATGTTGGCGTGTCGCTAACTCAGCATGCCTCGTCATCGTCCACGTCTGCTGTCCCGCCATAAAGTTGGGCATGGGGAGGGATCATCGTCCTTGTCATGGTCATCTGGGATCATTCTGGGACTTCTTCGCAACAATAACTCTCTCTCCTCATCATCTTGTTATTATCTGATTCCTCTCTCAATACATATCAATATATTGGTCTATATATTTATGCACACACACTCTCATACTATTAAAAAGTGAAAATACATAAAAATATATAACTATGTGTTATTAAATAAATAAAAGGACATACAAGTGAGGTTTCTTTTTCATTTGGATATACTGTGGTGTGTTTATTCTTCATCAATGGATATAAAAGATACATGCCCTGATGAAGGAGTATCAATCAATACGGACAAAATTGAATGTTGTAAAACTTCTCCTTTATAACAATTGAAAGCAACATATTCACTGATAACAATGTTTTTTTCAGATTAATAAACTGATATGCTTTAGTGGTAATAAGACATATTTTGAATTTTAAATTTAAATGTTGATATAATTGGACTTACTTCAAAAAACGGTGATGTGTCAATTTAATCATGATTTAATTTTCAATGTCAAATACTTGTTACTTATGTCTAAACATATAAGAAACAATATCGACTTTATATAAAAAATGCTATCAAAAAATACAAATATGTTTTAAAACTCAAATTTGAAATATCCACTCTTTTTTTTAAAATGCCAAATTTTGTGCCTAAGAGTATGACACAAAAATATTGATGTATTACAATTGAGGGATCACATTTCCATCCAACAACAATGGTTGTTTGGCCCTTGAGAAGATCAATGGTTAGTCTTATCACCCTTGCTAGGAATAATAATAATAAAAATAATAGTAATAAATTCATGCTTTTTCCTTGATATGTAACTAAATTTACTAAAGAAAACATGTTTTTTCTCTAAATAAAATACTTACAAAATGAATTGTACAAAGACAAAATAATTTTGGAATTATAGGAATCAAACAGAATTTTTCTAAATTTAAATAAATAGATAAATAGTATTTTAGTTTTATTTGTAGAAAATTCGAGAATTGCCAATATAAAAAAATCACTTATGAAATAAGATCACAAGTTGATAAAGAACTTGGTTTGATTTGAAAATATTATCTGATTTGGTGATAAGAGTTTTTTGAAGATTCTATTAGCAAACAATGTATATTTTAAAATTAAAATTGAAGTTGATAAGTTGATAATTTAGATTCAATACGATCTTCCAAACTAATAAGGGAAGAGAAAATGGATATGAGTCTTAAAACATTTTTACACAAACACAAATCGGAATTCTTCAAAAAAATTAAATCTAGTCATTATATATTACACTTTTATTAAGTAGATTTAAATTTTGCCAAAAAATTGCAAAAAAATATCTATTTTCCTTATGTTGTTACATTTTATTGTTTTGAAATTGTAAAGGAATTGAGGTTTATCCTTTTCGAAAATTATATGTTTAGAATCAAATCTGCATCACAAGTATTTACATTTGTCTTCACATTTTAACTTCATGGTAATATTTCTAAGTAGTATTTTTCTTTATTGGACAATTGAAATATGTTGGGTTGGAAGTAATGATTCTTGATGTAATTTGTTGCAGTGTTCTTACGAGATGGATGAATTCCACTAGTTAATTACAAACCATGGGATCCCTGGTGAGGTTGTGGAACAGCACGGTAAGCGTGTTTACTGGAGATGATGAATTCACAGACAAGTTAAGAAACGATGGCAATTCAGAAACGACTTCTACTGTAACTAGAGGAATCAATTGAAGCCGACAGTGAATTAGAAATCAAAAGAGCCATTCCTTTTCGAACTGCAAATAGTAAGACGTCCAGTAAGAGGATCAATACTGAGATGCAGCAGCGTGTCGAAACTCACCCATGTCAACCAACCATAAGTGTGCGACTCAATAATAGAATTCTTTAAGGCTTCTTCAAAAGAAACAAAAACAAACTTCTCCGCGGTCCCCCCTTCAATGTTTGCATTTGATATTTCACCTTCGCTGTTTCCTCATAAAAACTAAAAGTTCTCAGTTTCGAACAAGAGTGCTCTGCAAAACATCCAGTCAACAAGCAGTAAGCAGGTTAATCTTCAAGAATGAAGATCTCCATTACAAATTCAGGAGGATATAGGGGGAAAACAAAAATAAAAAGAAAAAAAGAATCAGAAATCAAAACTCAACCAAAGCCAACTCTTGTCATTCTCCTCCTTACAAAAATGAAGACAAGTTCAACCTTTAAGGCACACCATTTTAAAGAAATTAACAACTTAAACCTCCCAAATTCTAGCTTCAATCATAATGTCAAGATGCAATTATAGAGTCGCAAGGGAGCTCACCAGACCAGCCCCAGCATTCGGATATTTTGGTTTGTCGTCAATCACCAGCTAGATGATGCAGCCTAAGTCAAGAAATACTTCAGAGAAGAGCAGGAGCTTATGTTGCGCAACTCTTGAGTACCTCACAAGGGACACCTTTGTGATCGGAGGTTACTTTCCAGGAAAACTAAAAGTTCAAGTCAACAATTTAGGTTAGGGGTACTAAGAAAATAGAAAAGAAGGTGCCTGAAAATGTTCTGGTGCTCCCGCGAAAAGTAATGTATTGAAACTGTAGTGGGCTGATGACTCTCGTATCTAAGAAACGCAGTCTGCACATGCCTGTCAGGCTCCATCTCTAAGTGGTTTCACGCCTTCACAGCCAAGCCAAAACCGCTAGTTCTACTACGTCCTGCAGTGACTTTGCAGCAAGGTTTTCCATGTATACATGAGCTTCACAGTGAACTTGCTGCATCGCCCTTCTTCAATAAACTGAGGCTAAGCTTTGCTCTTAGGTAGGCTGATGTTGAACTGTGCTCGTAGAGCTTCTAACACCTCTTCGACAGACTTCTTCCCAAAGTTCTTGATTCTCATCAAATCATCTTGAGTATAATCCAACAGATCCGATACTGTGTGGATGTTGGCTCGCTTAAGGCAGTTGTAGGCTCTAGCGGGCAGTTTCAACTGGTCAATAAATACGTGTTTGTAAGTGACCTCTTTCGTAATCTGATCAGATGACGACAAAAATGAAGAAAGCATGGAAATGTTCCTTGAACCATTCTCCTTCTCAGTGGTGTTCGTAACTTCTATCACCTCTGATTCTAAGAGAGGAAGCAATAAATCGATCAAACTACGGGCAGCCTCAATGAGAGCTTCTTCAGGGCTAATGCTGCCGTTGGTATATATCTCCAGGAATAGTATTTCTCGTGTTACATCCTCGACCTCGAAAGAATGAACACTATAATTCGCCTGAACAACCGGCATAAAAACAGAATCTATATAAAACCGTCCATTTGTAGACTTCCCAGGATCCACAATGCGGTAGCCCACGTCCTTTTCAACTTCAATCTCAACGTTGAAGGGAATCGCTGCGGTCACAAGAGCTATATTCTGGGATGGGTCAGGTACAACAAGAGAGGGAGGACAAAGTATATCCCCAGCAATCACTTGTCTAGGTCCCATCACAGATATGAACGCTTTCTGTGGTTCGTGAGTGTTGCTTCCAATAGCGACGTCCCTCACGTTCAACAAGATGTCCTGCACCGTTTCTTGAATACCGTCAACTGCCTGATATTCATGTACAATGCCCATATCTTTAAAAGTAGCACATGTAATAGCTGCTCCCTGAACTTCTCCTAATAATGCTCTCCTCAAAGCATTTCCAACTGTGATAGCTTGACCTTGCCGAAATGGAGATACGGCAAATCGAGCGTAATGCCGATGATCATTTTCTTTAAAAGTCTCAACACACCTCCACTGCAATGGACTTTGCGTGCTACTCTGTGAAACCACTCTCTCCACCTAAAGTCAACAAACAATTCATTTAAATAAACAGGTTAAGAGCAAAACAGGGCAAGAAAAACACAAGAATGTTCACAACAGAAATCCTCCATCGGCAGTCAGGCAAAAAAGTATAGAGAAAGTTTGGATTTTCAATGCCCACAACATTTTGTAGCTCGCTGATGATTGTAATAGCTCAAGCCTAATTCAACGTCTTCCACTTAATTAGCAAATCTCAGACAAGGCATAAGGAACATACCTCAGTTAGGACTTTAGTAGATGACATTCCAGTAGGGTACCGCCTGGCATGAACAAACATGTCAGAATTCGTTTGTGTGATCAATCATCCACGAAACAATCTACGCGAACGATCAATATGATATTAAGACACAGAATCTGCTGCATAAGGACCTAGACCAATAAGCAGAGCTAAAGAGGAGATAAAGTTCATTCATACTTATCGAGTAAGTCAGAGCAAAGCTCCAAGAAGATGTCCCGGGTAAGGGTGGTCTCAATGTCCATGGGTCCGTCCGCAGTGGTAGTAATAAACGACAAACTGTAAAAGGATTTCCATGTGGCACTATCAGTATCCTAACGTACATCCAGCAGCATGAACAAAATTTCATTATCTAGTGCTCATATCTCTCTACCAATACGTTTCAACATCTATCACACATGTATCCGGAATGAAGCTCTACGTCCATGTACAAATCCGATTCAACGCCAGTAACTACCTGAGATTAGCCTGCGAAGCCGAAGCCAACTCCCTCTTGGCCTTTTCTGCAGCTTCTGTAAGCCTCAGTACGGATTGACTGTCCTTCAAAAGGTCTACTCCATTTACCCTCTCGAAATCTTCCGCTACCCATTCCACAATGCGCTGCATTGATCGCACCGTACACTAGTGAGCACTTCCACCACTTAAACTCCACAATTACCAACTAACTTTCAAACAAAGCAGCTTCGGAAAGGGCAATAACAGCACAAAACGTTAAGAACGTTTGGTAGCTTCCAACTAGCAAGCTGCACTTCACAAACACTTACATCAGAATGAAAGAAAAATCAAAGCTGACCTTGTCAAATTCGTCGCCGGGAGCTGACCGCACCATGGTAAAATTATTGCCTCCTTCCACGGACGCAACTACAGTCGAATTCCTCTTAAATCTACCGTAGTCTAAACCTTTCACCCTCCTTGCAACCATTCTGCCTCCAAGTTCTATCTTCCTCATCGTATCCCTTCCCGAAAAGGGATTCCTCCTAGAGCTCCTTCCAGACTCTGAAATGAAGGGCGCAACTGCCCTGACAGCATCGGCCACGGCCTGGGCGCCCATGACAGTTGCCATTACACAAGCTGTAACCTCACGCGCTCAATGAAACTCTGTAGAAAAACGTCGGAATCAGAACGTTCTGTTTATGCCCTAGAAGCTATAAACCGAAACATGTATTAACTTAAACAAATGTCCTATATAACTTGAAGCAAACTGTAAGTTGCTCCAGTGAATAAACCCTGAGATAAACCTCCACACGAACGCTAGTTCAAGAACCGTATGCTACAAGCGGCGAGAAAAATCATATACTACAAAGAAATTGTTTGAGAAAAACAGGAGATGAGGTGGCGAAGCACGGGTAATTAACAAAGCAAGCCACTAGAATTTCCAGCGAGAATCAACCAAAACAAGGTCGAGCCATTTCCTCACACGAACTTACTAACATCCAGAATCCTCTGACTTAAACACTCCAAACCGAGAACTAGCCAAACCAAAAAAAAAAAAAAAAAAAAAAAAAAAAAACTCGAAAAAAATCTTGCATTGTACTAATTGAATCGGCACACTGACACTGGAGAGCTCAAACTTCAAACGCGGCCAAACAAAAGCCCTCACAAAACTAAAGAGCGCACCTCGTAAGCTGGGGAAGGAGTCTTCACACACAGGTGAAAGTGCTGGATCCGGCAGTAGAGGTGAAGAGGCCTGCAGGAGAGAGCACGCACCTCAAAATTGACCTCGAAGAGCAAATCCCGACGAGGCAAGAACTCGACGTCGGAGGAGCAGAGAAGATAGGATGCCTCCTCCCTGGTTTGAATGACCCTACCACCGCATGCTTCGACTCCTTTGTGGTCCCATAACCGCATGAAGATACTCTCGCCCTCATGTCCTAATTCCACGTTATCTGGGTGGCGCCATCGGCTATGCTTGAGAATGGGAACGGGAATAGAACATAGAGAACGTGGAGAACATGGCAAAAGTCTTATCCAGTGTGATGAAATGGAATTGTGCCCTACAAATGATAGGTTATGCCAACTAAATGCAATTCAAAGTTTTCTTGTAATACAATTCTTTTTCAAGAGACTTCAGCAGCTGTTACTGCATGAATATTGAATTATATGTATTATTTTTATTTTTATTTTCTCAAGCACTTGCGATCGGAATTGAGGTATTATCATCTACAAAAATGTGAAAAGAAATTGTAGATATATTTCAAATAAGATAAATGAAAGTTGAACAGAAGTCAATCATTATGTGAAATTGGGCGAAATTATTGCAAGGAGAATGAAATTATGACTGCATAATTGAAAAATAAAACTTGGTAATTAAGTTTCATGACTTGTGTAGGACTGTCATCAAATTATTATTTAAATTATTTAAAGGTTCGAGGCAGTTCTCTATGGGAATTTACTTGTCCTAATGGATGTGCAACATCTATCCATTTGGGAGGATTGTTGTTGGCGGAGGAGATCTATATCAGGAAACTGAATATCCAGAATTGGGATGGAATTCAGGAGCTACCGTGTCGAAGGGCTGTACGTGTTCATCCATCTGGAAGGTTCATCCTTGGGGGTGTGCTCGCTCTCTCTGTCTCTCCCCCTCTCTCTCAGCCGTGCCCCTGGAGGCCAGAGTAATTGAGAGAGGTGTGGCGGGAGTGTTTTGCTGCTGGAAGCTCCGAAACCCTAGATATGGCGGACGGGGTGGACGAGATGCCATCGGCCAGGCCGCCTACCCTGCCTTCTCAGCAGGCGTTCAAGCTATGGCCGCCGAGTCAGGGGACTCGAGAGGCCGTGCGCCAGAAGATGGCACTCAAGCTATCGTCGGCATGTTTCGAGTCTCAGTCGTTCGCGAGGATAGAGCTCGCTGATGCACAGGAGCACGCCAGGTTGATCGAGGAAGCTGCGTTCGGGGCGGCGCAAGAGGCTGATCGAGTGGGTGACAAGGCCGGGAGTGCAGTGGTTATGGTGTATGCGAAGCATGCAAGTAAGTTGATGTTGGAGACGCTGCGGACGCAAGGACGGGACAGCGGTGAGCCTGTTACGCCGACGGCAGCAAGGGAGGTGGAGACAGATGCTGTTGCTACAGATAATGGCGGCGCCCTCTCCTCCGAGAGTGAGTGAATTCATTTGTGTCGGGATTTAATGTGAAGATTTTTTCATGCTTGGCTTTGAGATTTTACATGCGGAAGATGTGACATGATACACCAAGGTCTTTTTTTTCAGTTCGTTTGCGGGTTTTTATTCGAGATCTAGGTTTCGTTGACGAGCTACTTGTGTGCTTACCAAATGGCGATTCGTGTCTATGCTCTACGCTAGGTTTTTTCAGCAATAGGTTAATGCGAAAATCATGGTACTGGTAAGGGCAACTTTGGGATATATGTCTAGCAGTCGGGCAAGGAGGTTGGTGCAGAGAGCGCTCGAGAGATGAAAAGAATTCCGCCGAGATCGGACTCTTCGCTTTCATCACTGTATCGGATTGTCGTTGGCGAGATTTTACTTTCGACAGATAATTATATAGACGGCATGCACAAGCTCAAAGTATCTCAAATTATTACTTTTAAACAAATAGTTGTATGGTCTCAGTTTTCGGTATCATGGGGTTTACGTAGCATCTGGTAGTTATTGAATTACTATCTACAACTATAAACGAATACCGGAGCTACTCTATGTTTCCGGCACTATGTCATGGGAGTAACATCACAAAGCATGAAATGATACTCGTGATTTCAGGTGAGGAGCAAGCAATCGGTGACGCAGTGAAGGAAGTCAGGAGTATTGATAAAGAAGTACAGACATTGTTTGATGTTTCAGGAGGCACAAGGGCTTTTTTAACCAAGGAGCGTGCCGAAGAATTACTGAAACCTCTATTTGTTGAGAATGATATTACACAGATTTGTCTTAGCAACTGGAGTTTTGGACATGAATCTGCTGAAGTAGCCGCTCGCGCTCTGTCTGCTTTGAAAGACAGACTCGTGGACGTGAACCTGGCTGACATCGTCGCTGGCCGGCAAGAAGCAGAGGCTTTGTCTGCCATGAGTACTATCTCATCTGCTCTTGAAGGCAGTAAGCTGAAGTCCTTGAATTTATCAGACAACGCCTTGGGCGAGAAAGGCGTTAGAGCTTTTTCTGCTCTTTTGGGTTCACAAAATTCATTGGAAGCTCTCTCCTTCATGAACAATGGCATATCTGTGGATGCTGCCCGAGCTATCCGTGAGATTCTACCTTCCTCTAAAGAGCTTCGCACTCTTCGATTTCACAACAACATGACTGGAGACGAGGGTGCATTGGAGCTCGCCACCGAAGTGGTTGGAGGTGCTCCTCTTTTGGAACATTTTCAGTTTTCTTCAAGCAGGGTAGGAAGTGAGGGCGGCGTAGCACTCATGGAAGCATTGCAAGCTGGTAAATCCCTCAAAATCATCGACATTCGGGACAATATGTACGGTCCTGAAGGTGGTGCTGCTCTGGCTCTGGCTTTGAGATCGCATACCATGTTGAAGGAGGTATATCTGAGTGATTTGGGTTTAGAAGACGAGGGCGCTCTAGCAGTCGTTAAGGCATTGACAGAGGCCTCTTCTCAGGTCACAATTCTTGAGCTTGGTGGCAATGAAATCACAGAGAAGGTGGCCCCTGCGTTGGCAACCTGTATTAGATCCATGCGGCACCTAACAAGGTTAAATCTGATGGAGAATGAGTTGAAGGACAGTGGAGTGGTAACGGTTTCTACCGCTATTGGAGAAGGCCTCGAGAATCTGCGTGAGCTAGACCTGAGCGTGAATGAACTTAGTCGCATTGGAGCTTTGGCAGCCGCTCAAGCAGTGGGAAACAAAAAACACTTCAAGCATTTAAATTTGAACGGCAACCAGATCTCTGAGCAAGGTGTTGAAGCTGTGCAGGAAATGCTTAGGAAGAGTGTGGCAGGTGTGGATGTTTTGGGTCCTTTGGATGAGAATGAGCCAGAGGGAGAAGAGGACTATGAAGAGGATGGCAAAGATGATGAGCTAGACGTTGAAGGGTTTTCTGATTTGAATGTTGCCGACAAAACCGATTGAAAATTGTTGCACTTGCGAAGAAATGGAGTACTTGCAGTGCTTCCAGCCGAATTTGTGCGAGTGCACGATGAATCAAGGCTCCACAGGCAGTGAATTGCTTTACCCTCAATTTTGCAGGGTGTCATAGGTTTCCATATACAAGTAGTCAGAGTTGAAGAAGAGTGATAATCGAAGTTCGTTTGTTTCATGAAGTCCCACGTAGGGTACATCATTTTCCTTGTCGCGAACAAGTGAGAGCGAGAGGCTTCTTTGTCAGAGCAGGTAAATTTTAGTTTGGTGTCTGGATGTGAGCTTTCAGGGATTTGTCTTCACCGGGAAGTTTTCTATACAAGTCTGCTGTAGAAGTTTCGACCTCTTGTCATAGATGAGAAAAATGACTTGTTTCAATTTATTTCACTTCACGTCATTTCCCCTCGAAACACTACTTTGCTGTATTTGTTCCGCAGTCCTGACGTTTATTTTTTATTTTTTACCTTCCTTCCCCTTGCACTCGTTTTTCCACCCACATGGCAGCACCATGTATATCAAATGCTCATGCATGAAGGCCTTTATAGGCCAATGTATGATTGTTATTGTAATCTTATTGAATGATTTGTTAAGAGAATGTGTCTCTATCTCAATTACAACCTAAAGTTTTATTGTGCAAATATTTCAATATTTATAATATATTTATAACATACTTCATTGTCATTAGTCAATGTGATGTTTTATTTAGATTTGGCTTGTGAAAAAAATTACATGTAATTGTTCACGTAGAAATATCAGTTTTGGCAAATAGTCTTCCAAGACATGAATTGTTTGATCCTCAGATTGGACAACTTCTATGAATAAAACTAGACTTATTTGAAATTGTTTTGTTGTTGTTTGAATGAAAGTTTTGTAACTGTAAGTTCTAGATTTGGTTATAATTTTGGTAGTGGTAACATCTACCACAAAATCTCTCACAACAGGGCACATTTCATTGCATAAAGTGCATAAGATATAAACTTCAACCTTTAGGTAAAAATTCATTAACAAAAAGAATATTAAAATTCCCTATCAAATAGACGAGACAATTATTTTGTTATTTTTAAGAAAACTAAGTTTCATTAAAGAAAGGTATCAATTTGATAGGGAATTTTAATATTCATGAAAACTTTGCATGATATAAAGATTCATGTGAACTGCATTTTCATCTCTTGCATAAAAAACCTCTCTTCTTATGCTAACATGAAACAAATAATGACCAAAGTCTTTGTCTTCGTCTCCTTCAACCTTACCAACTTGACAGAGTCTCATTTTAACTAGAAAAGTACATTTTTTCATATAAATGGTCATAAGTAAGAGATTTTCAACCTCCTAATTTGAAACTCTCACACTAACAACAAGAGGTTAGATGAACAGAAGCCGACCTTGGTAATGGAAAATAACAGAGATCATAAAACGTTCATCAGGAGGATGGATGCCGGCGACCCGAGCCCTATTTCCGCTGCCGGCCGAAGCCCGTGAAAAACCGATCCGACGGCCAGGCGCATTACATCGAGGAAGGAGACGGTTGGCGGCGGCGGTTACATTCCCAGTAAAGGAAGGCCGGATGGAGTGACGCGACCGAGAGCCAAGTCTAGCGGATGCTTGCCTTTTGTGTTTTTCTTCAAAAAAAACTCTCTCCTGCCCCATCGCACCCACCGACTCCATCGCCAAATCTCTGCAGCAGCAGCTGTCCCTCGCTCTTCACTCGCCTTCTTCCTGTTCTCGGCTATCACTCTCTGAATAGGACCCATGAAGATGCATTATGAGGAGGAGCACTTGGCAGTGCTGTATTTGTACACTGATCATGCGGCGTTTCTTCTCATTCTGAGCGACGATCTTACGACACGTTCTTAGCACAGTTGTGATGCGTGTTTGATTATTGATAAGTGGTTTTGTATGCTGAGTAGAGGAGAGATTGCATGTATCCTTGAGTTAGTATGGACTGGGTTGTGGCTTCCGCCGTAGGTGCTGGTTGAGTTTGGTGGGTAAGTGGCAGCGAGAGAGTTTGAAGGGGTGGCAGGCGTGGTTGGTGAATACTGTGTGGTTGTATTGGTGGATGATCTGTAGAATTGTGTTGGGTCAAGGATTAGAAGGTTGGGTGTGGCGGTGTGGCAATTTTCGGTAGCTATGAACCAGTGCGAGGTGATTCTGGCGCCTGTATCCAGCAGGAAGGTCAAGTGCTTGATTCCTGAGCACTATCTTCAGAACATGGACTCTTTGGGATTGCAGCAACTTGAGCATCTGGAGAAGGAATTGGAGCAAGCAAAGAAAAAGGTAACATTTTTCAGTTTTCTTTGGGTATAGCTTCTAGTTTCCTAATGTCACTGTCATGAGGATTCCAATTTATGTCACCCATGTGCCAGTCCATCTCGCACCCAAATTGGAGTCAATTCATCGTGGAAATTGCCATAAAGATAGCACATCTTAGCTGCAGCGTTCGTCTGAACATAAGCGCATCTTTGCATTCAATGGCGACAAACGAAACAACTGCACTTGTCTTGAGTGAAAGGAACAATTTACATATGAATGGCTAAACATGCGTGACTGTTAGAGATTGCTTTCTTCCTTTGAATCAGGCAGGAATTGAACTAACATCTGAGAATTTATGTTCTGACGGTTTTTTCTAAGTGCACAATCAGGACAAGCTGAAATAGTTTGTGGTGAATTTGGTGGTTCTAGCAGATTTTGGTGTTAAAAGCTCAGGAACATCGCGAAACTTCCTCACCTGATACCAAAGTATGTATGTGTATTATAACTACGTCAAGTGTGTTGGGTCAGTAGCGTTGTTTCTCGACACGGTGGGCCACATCAATTGCTGCTCGAAGAACTTGAACAAAGTGTCTAACCGAACTTGCATGTGTATGACCGAATGGCTAGTATCGCTAGTGAGACGTTAGAGCATATCTCATTGACGAAATGAGGAAAATTTGGTTCGTGGTAATGGTGCAGTTGGTTAATCCTTGTTTAAACTCGATTGCAGCAAGTTTCTGAAAGTAGATATTGGACTAATGAAGAGCGTCAAAGATTCAAAAAAGCCTTAAAAACGTGAGATCCGCAAACACTAAATGATTGAACAAACGTAGACTTAAAGGATATTCTTTGTATGATTTGTACTGGAACGACTATATATGCCGCGGGAGGTTCTGAGCGGCTGAACTATTTTTTCACTGATTAGTTTCACGTTGTTGCTCCGCAGGTTTGGAACAGATTTTGCTGCGATTGCTAAGTTCGTGGGGACTCGAAGCTCAACTCAAGTTCGCACACATGCGCAAAAATACTATGCAAAGTTGGTAAAGTTATCTTTTACCAATGTAGGATCCTTCGTGATTCCAGAACCTCATAACTATATTCATCAATGTGATGCAACATCTAAAGCAATGATAATAGTTCTACCCCGATCTCAATCTGTTGATTCGTAATCGCCATCTTATAATTACCGCAGGCCAAGTCACACCTACCACTGGTATATTTCAATTCAATAAGGATTCAGGAAGACCACGAAAAAGTGTAGGACAGGAGTTAGGAAGTCAAATCGATGATAACCCTGACTCGTATCAGCATGCCGCCCTCACTTCATGAATCACCCCCCATCTAGTTTTCATCAATGTCACCACTTCTTTCACCACTTCAGTTCACTCAACGTTAAACTTTGCTGTGCTCTGAAGTCTAGACTTATCTCAATCGACGCACAATTTGCGTGGCACACTTTTTGGGGACCAAGATGACTTCGAGTTCAGCATGACAGTGCACCAGTTTCTCCTGAGCAAGACTTCATACCACCACTTCTAAGTTTGTTCTGTGTCCACAGATAAGAGACTATAAACGCTCAGGCAAGGCTGGAGCAACCAGCATGAAAGCTTGCGAGGATGCAACCACGAGGCATACTGCGCCATAATCCATTGTAGGTAAACAACCAAGTGTACGAGATTATGAGGCTCTAATACACATAGAATTTTACACACAAAAATTCCTGGATTTATCAATCTAGCTGAATGGAGTCGGCACCCAAACGAATCGAGGCTACAGCTCATTGGAACAAACTTGGAAAATTCAAACCAGGCTTCGAACTTCAACCGTGCTTCAACCTGTTGTTGTTTTTTCGCCGAAGGTTGATAAATCATTTTTGTAGACTTTGTGAACGAAGATTGTTCTGTTTATCTACCTTCATTACAGCCGGACCCAGCTTCGGAATCGCTTAAACTATGATCGAACATCGGCTAGTAGCATGCAATGTGCACACAAATCTTGTTGACGTCAACTGGTTATTGTATCCTTGCCAATGGATGTGAGTCTTTTGGATGAAACATCAGCCTTATCGTGGATGAAAGACGTAACACAACAAACCGAGATTGTTAAATTTTTGATATTGTATGGTTTTATGAGTGTTTAATAACTATATCTTATTTTATTTTTTATTTTTTTATATTGATTTAATTAGTGTGAGCATAACAATTGGTTGAATTGGTCAATTTCTGTATTTATTTATTAATGATTAAGTTATAAGTATTTATTTTTGCTTAAAATTAAACCTTGGTAATTAAATAAGTATAAAAGTTTTATTCTTTATTCAGTATATAAATTAATAAAAATTGATAGAAATTTTGGTAGTTTAAATTTTTATTTTTTTATTTTTTTTAACTTTAATAAGAATATAATTAGAAAATAAGCATTGTGAATATCAAGAAAAGATAAAAATATGATTATTTTAGTCTTTTTTATATTTGAATATTTAAAAAACTATATATATATATATATATATATATATATATATATATATTCACATACACACACACATACAATGTTTTCAAATTTCTTTACAAAATTACAAAAAACAATTACAATAAAATCTTATATTTGACTTTACATCTTTAGACAACAAACTATAAAGAATATACTTAATATAGGAATAGTTATTAATACTAGCTTAAAACATATAATTATTTTTGAAAAAAACTTAATACATTAGAAAAGAAATCAAAATAAATAAATAAATAAATAACTCTTTAATTTGATGATTTTTTTGAGAAGCAATATGCTTTTAAAGACATTTAAAAAATCTAAGTAATGATACAATCTCTACATTAAATTAAAATTTTAAAAAAATTATTTATATTAAATCAAAAATTTTATAGATAAAAAGTTTGTAAATTTATTATATATTATATGTCAAAAAAATGCCAATATAAAAGTATTTTTTTAAAGTAATAACAAATTATACTTGTGTTTTTAAAATTATCAAATATTTAAAAAAATTCAAGAATATTTCTATTGTGAGCCAATAATAATAATTAAAATTTTATAATAAACCAACAAGTATGCTTAGTTGATAAATTTAAATGTATTTTTTTTTAATCTCATAAAAAATATTGTTTGATTCTTTAAAGACTTCTGAAGTATATGTAAAAACTTTGCGAATGTATTAGTACTTGGATTTAGAATCTTGTAAGTATTCAAATCTGTTTTTTAATATTATTGTAGAATTTAACAAGTATAAGTTTTTAATGTTATACCCATTAGAATGAATTAAAATTAGATGTAATGTAAATATTATAATCTTTTGCAAGAGATTTTTATGTTGTTTTATTTTTAATTTTAATTTTTTGAGATATTTCTTAAATATTATCTTGATTTTCATCAAATTAAAATAACTTGTTGTATAAAACTGTCAAGGACAAGAACTCAATGAAAAAGCAATTCAAACAAGTGAGCCTTCACTCAAAGAAAGGTAACAAAATATAAATAAACTAGTATGTATATTGAAAGAGAAACTGGAATGGCTATTGCCAAAAGACAAGAAAACTAGAGACCCTTGAAACTAAACTGGAAGCAAGAAAGGAGTTGACAATAGTGAAGAAGGTTTTACTCTTGTCTCTATATATACTATCCAACTAGGGACTACGTGGCGACATTTTATAGGACCTTCAATATGTGTTGACTTTGTAGGACACATGCCTTGACTTACAAGGCAAGTTTTTCTATGTGTGGGCCACGTAGTTAGCTTGATCTTCAAGCTAATAACATGTGTGGTACATGGCCAACTTGTTGACTACGTTTCTAATCCAAAAAAGTCAATTAAAGACACCTATGAAGTCAAAGCAGCATCTATGAAGCTTCTAGGAAGCTTTCATATTAAATACTATAGAATTAACTTACTTTTATCTACTTTTACTTACTTCCACCTATTTGTATATGTAATTACTAGCTTATATAAGTATGTCCATGACAAAAACTCAAATACTATTATATCACTTGTCAAAATTTTCTTTAAGATTATTTAGTTCCACTTTAATGTAGGTAAGTTATATTTAATATCTATAAATATATAAATTCTTAATATCAGTTTTTTATTATTTTATTATTATTTTTTATTTCTTAAGTTAGATTTTTTATATTTTTTATGTTTTATTTTTTATTTATTTTTATTTTTTTAAATCAATACATAATTGATTTGAAGAGTTTATCATATTTTAATATTTTAAAAATATTTTAGCTCGTTTAAATTTCTGTTTAAAAAAATAAATCTACTATATCAATTGTTGATGTAACCACAAATACTTGTGTTGTGCATTTAGAAATAAAATTCTTAAATATATATATGTATATATATATATATATATATATTATTTTTATATATTTAGAATTTTATCTAAGTAATATTAGAATTAAATTTAAAGTATGTAAAGTTAAAAAACTTAAAAAGGTATAGAAGGATTATAGACTATAGTATATTGATTTACGTTGAGAAGTTAGTAAAATACATAGAATTAGATTAAAGATAATATAAAGTTGAACTTTTGGTAGAATTTATAGCTCGAATTATGTGTCTTTTTTGTTCTATTCTTTTAATAATAATCAAAGATTTAAAACTTATCTCTCTTCTTATAATTAGCATGTTTATAAGTTTTTTAAAATTAAAATTTTAATTTAATTTTAATAAATTTATATTATATTTATTCTCTATCCTTTTAATATGTTATGTTATACTTTTATTCACTTGTCTTTTTGTTTTGTAGATATTATATTCATATATAATGATTTTAAAATTTAAAGTTTGAAGATTATTGTATATGTATATATCTATTGTGTTAAATAACTTGGATATAATATAAAGATGCCTTCTCCATGGTTGTGAAGAAGAAAATGTAGGGAAGTCAAGGAATACAAGGACATGGGAGTATGAGAATGGAGGACTTGTAAATGCCTTGTAATCTAGAAGAGACTGCTCTTATAATATTTTATTGATTTTTTTGTGTCCAATGACACAAGTTTTCACTATTATACATATATTTCTATAAAGTTTAAGATACATACATACATACACACACACACACACACATATATATATATATATAGTAAACAATTTAAACTTGTTTTGTATCTTATTGTTGCTTTTTTATTTTCTAAAAGCATTCATTGCAACATGCAATAAGTGCATATAATTTTATTTTGGAATATCCATAATTTAATATTATAAGACATGTATTTGGAGGAGTTTAAGAATTTATAAATGGTGTGTGAGAATGAATTGGGGTGGAGGAATGCTTGAGGTCGAAGGGAACAAGTGAGTGCACAGGAAGGGAACGGAAGGGAAGGGAAGAGAGCAAGGCAACCAACTCTGGTGCCCCGCGTTCCCGAGATTGTGTTTCTGGGGCCATGAAGCAGATACACCGGGCATGTCGGGTTCTGGAAGGCGGGGCAGGGGCCAGGTATCCCAAGGAGAGGAGGGGGATGGATGAATGCTTGATGGGGATACACACTCACTCTAATGTATAGATAGATATATACCCCGATATACCCTGACATACCCTGCCATGGGAGGTTCGGTTGGGTTGCCCTGATTGTGTGTGCGCGACCAGCCCCGATTTAGTCTTTCTTTTGTCATGAAGAGAGAGAGAGCGCGAGACTCACTCACCCACTCCACCCCATCCATCCATCCATCCATCCATCCATCCATCCATACTCATCCATCCATACTCATCCATCCATTCATACTCATCCATCCATCCTCACCATACATAGTTGGAAGGGAATTCCATCCCCCCCCCCCTTCCCTTCCCCGTCCCCTTCCTCCCTCTCTCTCTCTCTCTCTCTCTCTCTGTGTATTGTTGTGTTGGGTGTTTGTGTTGAACGGAGACACTCACTCCTCTTCTTCGCCACGACCTCTCTTACTTCACTTCATTACTTCATTTCATGGCCGACCCCACGCCATCATCGCAATTACCCACAGAGGATACTCTCGCGTCCGTGCATCGGGCTCTGGCCCTGCTCCACCAACTTCAGTGCTCCGTCTCTGGCTTCCAGCTCCCCTCCCAGCTTGTTCTTCTTGAGCGCTTGTATGTTGTTTTCTATTCTCCTTTTCTTCCTCTTTTGTCTCGTGTTGAGATTCTATTTATTAGTGATGCTTGAATGTCTTTCACTCTGCGATTATTCCGACATTATCTCAGGGTTTTAGTAGTGCGTTCGGTTCATCACCCCCCCCCCTTTTTCTCTCTTCTTTTACTTTTTTTGGCTCCCCTTGTGAGGTTTTCGGCCCTATATCGAAGTATCCGATGCGATGCTGAAGAAGTTTGATTCGTTTTAGCAACAAGGGCATGGGTGCATACTTGTCGAATCTTCGATAGGATTTCCATTCTGTAACAGGGTTTTAAATAACTTATTTATTTCTAAAAAATTGGACTGAATAAATGGATATTGATTTTATGCGCTGATTTGTTGCACTTAAAACCAAGTATGTGGTTTTTTAGTCCATTACTTGTTCGATGGAGATGGCAGGAATGGACTGGTCAGTGAATTCGGAAATATGCACTCAGCTTCTCAAGATTGTCACATTCAGATTCCATTGGAAGTCTTGAAGTAAGTGGACACATTACTGCCTGAATTGATTTGTATGTAGCTCTAATTTTTTTCATGATTCAGAACATAATTTATATTAAACCATCGAGGTAATTCTGGCTTCGGAAGTTTTTGCTTTAGTTTTTGTTCATTGCATGTGTAAGATTTCTTCGTTTACCCAGAATTACTAAATACCCAATTAATTGTTTTGGTGAACTGATCTAATTTAGTAATCTGTTTAAGCAACGGTTCTTAAATGATTTTCAATCGCGGTTTCGTTCTCGACTGCAAATTGGTCTCTCTATGGCAGAAACTTAGGTTTTGCTATTTCGTTGAATTGGCTGTATGAATGAAAATGTCAAATCTAATTAATCGACTTGGTGACCCTGATCTGGGATCTTCTTTGTTGTTGAGTTCTACGGTAATATGGTTGAAGTTTTATGGACCTTTCACTATTCGTAGCTATGTTGAGTTTTTAAACAATCGTAATGGATGGCTGGACATGAGCAGCTTCATAGATGAAGGCCGGAACCCTGATGAGTATACAAAGCATCTACTTAATGGTTGTATTCAACAGAATCAAGCATCGAAAGGCAAGGTGGATTCCTTCAAGGTAAGTGAATGCATTGAGTACTGTATATGGTTCAAGGACTTGGTTTCTGATTCCTTTACTTCGGGGATATTTCTTAATATATATTTTGGTGGTACATGTATTGAAAATGGCTCAACTGCGGCTAATGAAATTTCAGGCACTGCGGAAGCATCTGCTGGAACAAGTTGAAGAAGTTTTTCCAGCCGAAACGGAGGCATATCGGGACATACGCAATCAGTCATCCCTTGTGAGTACATTAGCTTTCCCTATTATTGTTTCTCTTTATAAAATTGTAATGCATATTATTATGTTCCTAGGCAGGTCTGCCATCCACTTCAGTGGTTATGAGCTCAACATTCATACGATGTGCATAGAAATCTTTTGTATAGTTTTGGTCCATGGTTGTATTTTGCTTATTCCAGGACAGTTCTTATTTACTATTTCAGTTTTGAAATATCTGGTTTGAGGTCAATTGTGCATCTGATTATATAGGTAAATAGTATGTCTTTTCAAGTAGTTACCAATCTACCTATTCCTTAATCATGATTGGATCTTTTAGTTTATCTGGAGTCTTCTTTATTTATTGTTTTATTATCATGCCCATTCCAGCTTAGTATATCTGGTTGGGATGATGGCATAATAAATTACGCATGATTCCCTTCGGAATATTATATAATCCCACACAAAATTAATGTTTTAAGTTAGGACTGTAAGAAAGTCGTTACAATTATAAATTTAGAATACTAGTTAGATTGCATGATCGGAGGCATTCGTAATAGAGCATAGTACTTATTTCTATATGATTTTTTTCCTTTTTCTTTTTTTTTGACTTGTTGCAGGAGTCACGAAGGTCACTACACACGGGAAATCCGATGTCCAATGGAGATATGAAATTAAAAATAGAGCACTAACTTTTTCCATTAACGCGATCTAATGAGTAGTGCAGGTAAGCAATAATACATGTTGAGAAAGCTCATCTGAAGACATGAGGAGTTTGCCTGGGTACATTCACTCCATGTTGGTTCAATGTGTATGATCCAAAGGTGTTTTATCCACCTCCATCATGTATTAGTTTTTATGCGCACATATTTTTAATTGCCAGGAACATCAGGTTTTCAATTGGTGTGAAGTCTTTGCAAAAACTTTATTAATGTAGGAATCAAAATCAGTACTATGTTACTTCTAAATATTATAAACTTACAAATCTCATGTATTTTTCAATTGTTGTATATATGTACTTTTTGAAGGAATTTCAAGTGATTACGAACGAGGTGTACATCTTTCGCAGTAATAGTGATTCAATCCGTATGTGCAAGCGTGTAGCAATTAAGAGCTAAATAATTCAAACCAATTAGCGACGGTTTCGCTTTACTTTAATAGCACCTCACTAATGCAGCATCGAGACGAATTTCAATATCCCCATAAATACCACATCTAACTAATCCGCGAACACTCTCAGTTTTCTCCAATTTTTAGTCACCAAAGGTACATTCTGCCTAACCACATCCATGTGAGTATCAAAATAGAATAAGCAATTGAACGACTCTACGTATTCAGAACCAACTGTCATAGAAATAATTCTGAGTAGAATTTTGTTCAATTCAATTCAGTATTTTAGAATATATAAATCAATCAACCCTCGATCCGTTTTCTTGATAACAATGAAGTTGGTGGTTACCAGTTACTTTAGTAGAGTTAGACTCGGCTTAGCGGTTGCATGTTCACGCTCTTTTAACTACGCAATATGAGCAAACTGTCGACTTCATAAGGACGCCAGCTGTGAGTTAAAGAAGCTGGAAATGGGCAAGTTCAGCTAGGAACCAATGTAACCCAAACGATGCAAAATAACGGCAACCACTAACATTACTAAAGCTAGTATCAAGCCTGATCTTCCTAATAACCAATTCTTGGCACGTCGTGCTTGGTGGGTCGCCTTTTGGGCCCTTTCAGCCCATAGCATCTGCACGAACAACCCATCAATGTCATGAAGAGAAATCATGTAAATCGAACAGATCATTATACAATAGCCCAACATAATATATACTAGAGCAGCAAGCCTAACAGGCAATGAAAGAAAAGAACGAACTAACTTACCATTCGGTCAAGTGTCTCCGGGCTCAAACTGGCCATGGCTTGCTGGGCTTGAATAGCTTGCTCATGACTAAGTTTCATGCCAAGTTGCTCACTCATGTTGGTCATCATTTCAGGAGTCATGGTCTTCATCATATCGGCCATCACCTGCAAGATGACACTTTATGCTACTTACTACCATGTTTCTTAACCACTGAGTACTATAATCAATAAAAATACAAGAGCCAAACTTAATAAATAAAAAATTAAAGGGATAATAAAAAAAAGAAGCCCAAGCGTGAAAATAATCAAGTAATAGGACCAAAGTGGGTCAGTATCAATCTTGTACTAGATCAATCAAACACACACCTGCTTCATTGCTGGGTCCTTCATCTGCTTCCTCATTTGTTCCCTCATTTCGGGACTAAAGTCTGCCATGCTAGGCATATTAGTACCAGGTGTCTGAACTCCAGATCTGAAGCTTGCATCTGGTGTGATCTGGAGTCCAGATGTGGCCGTATCTGAAGCAGATCGAGATGTACTTGGAATTGCTGAAGATGTGTCTGTTGTGATATTTGGAGGTGCACCTCCGGGCATTGGCATCTGAGATGTACTGGCCAAATTCACCATTCTCTCCATGTCTTCAGGAGACAGCTGTTTCATCATATTTGTGGCAAATTTCACCATTTCAGGCGACATTTGACCGCCGCTCATTGCAGCAATGGTGTCCGGACTCATTGTTGACATAACGGAGTGCATGTTCCTGACCAGAAAAGTGGCAAAACAATTGGCACACAAGTAACTCGTATGGATCACTTTCCGGGCTCTAAAAAGCTTCATTTTAAAACAATAAGAAATAGCACACATCGATCGTTGTCAATTGACATGGATCGAAACAAGAAAAATCGTGCATCATACAAAAACGGTGATTATAGCAAATGATCCTATAGGCTGAACATACGACAAAATAAAAACCATTAGGAACAGGGGGTGGAAAAGACAACAAAAGAGGGTGGGATGGGATAGGACAAGTGAGAAGAAATAACTCACCTCAACATCTCAGGATTCTGCTTCAAAGCAGAAAGGGTATCACCAAAAGCAGCTGTGTTGGGCATTACCGGAACAGAGTTACTGGTAGCAGTAGACGCTTCACAATTTGGCATATTGGAATGTTCTTTTGCCCGATCATCAGTACTTTCTAATGGCTGCGTGTCGTTTCCAGACATCGACTTCTCAGCTTCTTCATCATGCACTTCTTCGATGATAGGACCTGCAGAATGTCAAGTCGGAACCAAAAAAGATCTTTAAAAGAGCCAGTAACTTCTACTGAGTTAAGCTAATGAAGATATGACAAGAAGTTTGCGCAGGTAAAGTTTTCGATTAATCTATTATTTGCACACAATTTTCTCAACATTCATTGTTTATACTATAAGTTAAAACTGCAGTGGCTATCGCAACCCCAACAACAGCCATCCCTTCTCTGTGATCCAAAAAAAGTTCTTTACCATCAAGTGACAACTCTTCGTCCCCGCCTTGTGCGTCAAGCGCTTCCTTTGCCACACTGTCGAATAAATTTCAATGATAAAAACTCTCGTTAGTAATATTACACATAAAGATTTTGTGTGTTTGAAGCTGCATCAAAATATCAAAGACTCGTGTCCAAAAGCATAACCGAACATTTTAAAATTCGTTGATAGCTTGAGATTTAAATACATGCATACCTGTAAACATTGGCTATGGTTTCGTCATCTGGCGACAGTTCCAACGCCCTTCTTAAATCTGGAACAGCTAACTGTAAACACAAACATCAGTAATCCAGACACAATCAATTTGCCAATCGCCAAGATTAAAAAGCGTGCATCCAAGATACGAAATAACTCGTATTGGTAAAAATGTTCAAAAAAACGAAAGCTCAAATGCGGAGGTAGTCAAATGTTAATTGTTACCTTAAACTGCCCTAACTCTTTGTAAGCTTGGCCTCTACGATACAGAGCCTTCAGGTTGCTAGGATCACGAGCTAGAACCTGTCGGTAACAGTCAAATCAACAGTACTTTCAACACCTTGTGACGTCTGAATTGCATCATATCACTTAACAAAGCTCGGGCGAATTAAGGTTTTGCATTCACCAATCACGGTTCAACCTAACATACTGATTGATGTATGTCAGGCTACGATCTTAAAAGATTTACTGAACACAATGAATCTTCCAACACAAGTAGCAAAATTAGTACAATGAAAAAGCAGGTTGATTCACAATACAGAAGAAAATTTGAGTGGTCAAACCTCAGAACCAAAAGTAACGACATCTACAAATTGTTTGGTCTTTAAGTAGCATGACATCAAGTTCAAGGAACATGACAGTTCCAAATCTCTTGCTTCCCTCGACGTGTGCCCGACAAGATTGTTTTTGGCCTGTAGATTGCAACTCAGCAATAGCGCATACAATTGCAGAGGAAAATACAACTTTCCATAGCATCTCAAATACAACCCTACAAAGTTAACTGTATCTAACTTATATAGATGACGAAAATCTTACTACGGAGACACAGTCAAGTAAAGGAGATTTTGAAATTAATTGAACAGTTTTTCGCAGTACGATTAGCATAGTGAGATTCTTCGGATTGCAAGAACCAAGTACAGCTATGAGCAAAGACGTTTGCACACTATCTACTGAGGAAGATCCAGAAAACTTACTCTTAGATATTTCTCAGCTGCCTCAGTATATTTCCCGATGCCATGAAGTTGGTTCCCCTAAATTAAAACAGGATTATCTTAGATAGACAATAACAAGGAACATAAGAAGTCCTAGTTCTATGAATTAACTTAATACGGCTGAAATTATTACAAATTCCCACAAACAAGAACTACCATTATTTAAGTTAGTAAATCAGCATTGAAGTGACTTTCCAGCACCAGAGGTAGAAAGCCTAGTAGAGAAAACAAAAATCCACACACGGAAGCAGTATGACCAATGGAGATAATAAGAATTTGCTCAACTCAAATTTTTGGCTGTGCCCTGAATCACCTGGTTCTTCAAACTTTGTGAACCTTGCAACACATAAGCACGTTGAGCAGCACTCTGAGATTGCATTGCTGCTAGCTCCTCTGGAGTAGCACGTGCCACTCTTGAACTCATGTCAGCAATTTCGTCCGGAGGTATGTTTCTCATTTGTTGTGCAGCAAACTTCAAATCTTCTGGCCTGATGTTTTTCATGCCTTCAGATGCCATACGAAGAAGACCTGGATTACTCATCATCTGTAAACCAAATTTAAAGCACGAGTTAGGTGAAGTACGGTAACAACCAGTACCATTTTAGCTTCTCATCCCACCGTCATCACAACAAGCGCTATACCTGCGGAAACAGACTAAATATTTTGCACCACGGCATAAAGACTAACGCTACCTAGTTCTACATGTGGACTTAAATGAGCACATCGCGAGCTAACTTTTATTGATAGAGTTAACTATTCACCATATGAACGAAACTGATTCCAGACAATTCAATTTTGGATTTTAGCATGAGAACGAGCAATTCAATATGAATGTCAATTTTTCAGATTTGGAAAGAAACACTTCCGGAGAATTTGAAGTAGAACGAGCAATTCAATATGAAAGTCAATTTTTCAGATTTGGGAAGAAACACTTCCGGAGAATTTGAAGTAGAACGAGCCAGTGCTAATTGGTGCCGACACGAATGCGATTCGTAATGCTCCTCTGTCACCTTCTACACTAACGAAAATGGACACCGACTAGCACCACCCGTTAACTTAGAGCAGTGCAGTAGATATGCAATGCTCTGATAAATACTTCAACCGAAGACATGAGGTGCTAAATTTGCAACATGCTAATTTAAATTGTCCAAGTTGATGACCTTTCAAACACCCTCGCTGCAATGCCTAGTGCTGTCTGAATTAGGCCATGTTGTACATTGGGGTTTGAGAATGTAAGCTAGTTAATCCGCAGCAAGTCGATAATGGAAAAAAGAAAAAAAAGTAACCGTGAACCCTAGTGATCACAACATGAATTTAGGTTCCAACACATACATACATGGGGGCACAAGCCGGGAAGAGAAGCGAGAAATGAAAGTAAAAAGGAACCTGTTGCTACCTGTTGCTGCATGCGCTGCAGATCCTCAGGGCGGAGACGGCTCATCTGCTCCTGAGCAAGGCGAAGGACCTCCGGATCGAACATGGCGGAGAAAGGCGGATGACAGATAGAATAGGCGAGTGGTGTGAAGTGGGAGGAACGTTCAAGAGGAGGAGAGGGAATATATATAGAGGAGAATTAATTGGCATAACCAATATGAAAACCTAAGACACTCAAGAAGGAGGAGGAGGAGGAGGAGAAGAAGAGAAGAAGTACTACTGCGGTGCTGCTGCTGCAGGGGCGCAGATGATCATCGCCATCGCATGAGAGAGATATACGAAACTCGGAAAACAGTCCCCCCCCCGCCCCCCCCTCCCCGTTCTGCCTTGAGCGTCTTTCTCTTTCTCTCCCTTCCCAGGCCCTGCTCTCTCTCGCTGAAAAGAGTACGAGGAACTCTCTCCCCATCAAACCATACTCCTCGTCCATTCATTCACCCATCCATCAATGCAGTCATTTATTCATTCAAAAGATGGATGGATGGATGGATGGATGGATGGATGGATCCCGCACTCTGCCACGTTGATTGGATCGATAGATAGATCTCGTCTCCTTCCACTCTCTCTTCATCTATCCATCTATCCAACCTACGCTTCTGCACTTCCAAGGCGCCCTCCTCCTTCCTGTTTCCCTGGCTCCTTCTCCACTCACTTGCAAACGCTGCTTGTCTATTCTCCCAGTATTTCAACAAGTTGGAAAAACCCTCCGCTTTCAGATTTCACATTACAATTCTCTCCATCATTTCTCAAATAGGTACACGAGCGATCCTATTCTACAACTGTAATCATTTATTGATGTATGACATAATATATTAACACAAAATAATCATATATTAATTTGAGATTAACACAAAATAATCATATATTAATTTGAGATGTGGAAGCAATTTATAAAAATACTATTATATGTTACAAAAGCTTTATTATAAAAGAAATAAGTAATAAATATCTAATTTAATTTTTATTATATATATATATATATATATATATATATATACATACATACATACAAACATATATACATGCCAACATTAAAAATCAAGCCTTACAAAGAATTACAATAATAAATCAATCTTTAAAACATAATTTTGTTGATTTGATTACTTTTAATATATGTTCTAATGTAATAAATATTATATGTTGTCTTTATGAAATTTTATGTAATGACATTTTATATTTTATTTAAATATAATTAAATAAAAAATATAAATAATATAGCTAAATTTATAAAAAAAGACTATCAACTATAAATATATAGGTGTTTATGTATAGATGTTACAAAGATTTATATTTACTCCAATAATTATTTAAATAATATGAGTAGATAGAAATAAATAAAAGTAGAAAAAATTGACAATACCTTAAAAAGAAGCATCTTAGAAGCTTCATAGACATGGCTTTGCCTTTGTACATGTCTATGTGAGTTTGAAAACTTGGCCAACAAATTAGCTACTTATTGTACATATTGGTGACTTATGATACAAGTTAGATATGTGAAACATATATAAAAAGTATTGAAGAAACACAACAAGCAAGATACAAGTAAGTAAAAATCAGCAAGGTTGCACACAAGAGAAGTGTGGAATAAGATGCTTCTGACTTCCAACTTCCTTTACTTATAGGAGGAGTTTACATCTACTATAGCTGAACTTCATCTACATCCATCCAATAAAACCTTAGCTGCCACTTTACCTAGCCACCTCTTAAACCCTAGCTGCCGTCATAAACCTAGTCGCCACCATTGTTACTTACTTTTACCTTTGTTACCTTTGACCTTTTAGCAACTTATCTTAAGTAATACTTATTTACTTTAACACTCCCACTTTGCTATTGGTCAAAGGCTATTAGTCCTAGTCCCTTTCTTAATTTTTGATGCTTATCCTTCACTAGAACTTTTGTAAGCAAATCAGCAAGCATCTTTTTCGTTGTACAATACTTCATGTCAATCACTCCTGTTTCAATCTTCTCTCTTATGAAGTGATGTTGAATGTCAATGTAAATGGTTCTTGAGTGATGCTTTGGATTCTTTGCAAAAGCAAGACATCCTTGGTTATCACACTTCATTGGAGTTGCTTCCATTTGAACAAGTCCAATGTCTTCTAAAAGTTGTCTAAGCCAAATTGCCTCTATTGCACCGTGGCTTGCTGCCATGTATTCTGCCTCCATTGTGGACCTTGCAATTGTTGGTTGCCTCTTGCAATTCCATGAGATTGCTCCCACTCCAACAAAGAATACATATCCCGTTGTTGATCTTCTATCATTTAAATCTCCAGCCCGATCCGCATCACAATAACCATGTAATGCAACATTACTCCCTCCAAGACACAATTTGAAGTTTAAAGTACCTTTTAAGTACCTCATGATCTTTTTGATGGTTGCCTAGTGGATTGGTCCAGCCTTTGATATGTGTTGGTATTGAAGGCAAGAACTCTTTAAGTAGTTGCTAATGGTCAATAGAGTACAAGTGTTGTTAGGGATATCCCATAAGGTTAGGTGCTAGTCTATAGTGCATTAGAGTACAAGGAGAAGGCTGGTCCTAGGAGATATCCCATATGGGTTGTAGTATATGGTACCTTGGTACTAGTATATAAGCAAAGGGTTGGCATGGAAAGAATTATCTCATACCACACTCTATTTGTTAAAGTGCAATCTTGTTGGTCCTAACTTACTTGTGTGGAGTATGCTTTCTATGTTTCAACAGGTTATGGGCCCACATTCTCTTACGAAGTAAGTTGTTCTTGCATTATTTCTTTGTTGCTTATTTTTGGTGGTTGAGATCTTATGGTACAGTGTTGCTAGTGAATTGTTGAAGTCATTGCTCCTAGATTTGTGAGTTTATGAGCATAGTGCAAGACCTTGATAGTATCTTTCTTGAACGAGCACTAGTATTTGAGAGTTTTCTGAGAAAGTGAGTCATTTAGAATGAATTGACGTTAGAGAGACGTTTGAAAGTCATAAAATCACATTACAAACCATTCCCCACCATTTAGAAGTAATTTGGACTCAAAATATGCAAAAAGATGCAAAACATCGAATTCTGGGTTTGTAGTTCAGGAATCTTTAAGTAGTCATATCTTTTGCATTACAACTCCAAATCAAAAGTTTTTTGGACCTACTTGTAGCTTGAGATGGCATCTTTTGAGGGTGATAGCTTAAGAGTTGTTGAAAAGTTTAGAGGTGACAACTTTCACCACTGGAAGGCCAAAATGGAGCTACTTTTGGCGTCCTTGGATCTTTGGGAGATAGTAGATGAGGAGGAACTTGCACCTTATTGAAGAAATACTATAAGCATAACACAAGTAAGTAGAAATCAGCAAGGTTACACATAAGAGAAGTGTGGAATGAGATGACTCTTACTTCCAACACTCGTTACTTATAATCAGAGTTCACATCCAATATGTATAGACTTCATCCACATTCATCTATAACTAGCTGCCACTGGAGACTCTAAACTTAATCGCTTCTCGAGACTCTAAACCTAGCCGTCTGTCGAGACATTAAACCTAACCGCGTGTCGAGACCTTAGCCGCTACTTAGTCCTTAATTGCCTTTGACCATTAGCAACTTATCTAAGAGAATATTTTCTACAAGATAACTTATTCTACTTTTACTATTACCTATTTATCTCAACATCTTTATCTTTTACCTCAACACTCCCACTTTGCTAATTGTCAAAGCCCTTCAAACCTAATGCCTTTGTCAACATATAATGTCTATCTTTTATCAATGCCTTTGTTAACAAATCAGCAAGCATATCTTCTGTTGCACAATACTTCAAGTCAATCACTCCCATTTCAATCTTCTCTCTTATAAAGTGATGTTGAATGTCAATGTGCTTGGTTCATGAATGATACTTTGGATTCTTTGCAAAAGCAAGGCACCCTTGATTGTCACAATTCAATAGAGTTGCTTCTAATTGCACAAGTCCAATGTCCTCCAAAACTTGCCTTAACCATGTTGCTTCCATTACACCATGGCTTGCTGCCATGTACTCCGCCTCCATTGTGGACCTTGCAATTGTGGGTTGCCTCTTGCAATTCCATGAAATTGCTCCCACTCCAACAAAGAATACATAGCCCGTTGTTGACCGCCTATCATTTGCATCTTCTGCCCAATCCGCATCACAATAACCATACAAAGCAATACCGTCACCTCCAAGGCACAATTTGAAGTCCAAAGTACCTTTCAAGTACCTCATCATCATCTTCATGGTTGCCCAATGAAGTGGTCCTGCTTTTGACATGTGTTGACTTACGACATTCATCGCATAAGCAAGATCCATCCTTGTGCGAACCATTGCATACATGAGTGATCCAACTGCTGCCTTGTATGGAACACCTTGCATTTGGCTTTCAACTTGTGCAAACTCTTCATCTGTGAGCTTCATCAACTTCAAATTGGACTCCAAAGGTGTTCTAATAGGCTTGCAATCCTCCATGTTGAATCGTTTCAACACTCCTTCAATGTACTTCCTTTGGCTCATTGTGATAGTCTTGTTAGCACGATCTCTTGCAAATTCCACTCCTAAGCAATAGTGAAGCTCTCCCAAATCACTCATCTCATATTCTTTTTCTAACTTTACCTTCAACCAATCCATCATCTTTAGAGTATTTGTTAAGATGATTAAATCATCTACATAAAGAATAACAATCATCAAGAACTCTTTTGATTATATTACATACATAGAATGGTCAGCCTCACTTCTTTGGAATCCCTCATTAACAAAGAATGTGTCAATTCTTTGATACCATGCCCTTGGAGATTGCTTGAGTCCATACAAGGATTTCTTCAACTTACAAACAAGATGTTGCTTGCCTTCCTCTATAAATCCTTGAGGTTAATCCATGTAGATGTCTTCTTCCAATTCTCCATTCAAGAAAGCCGTCTTCACATCCATTTGATGCATCTCCAAGTCCATTGCTGCCCCAATTGCCACAATGGTTCTAACGGCGGTGAACTTAGCCACGGGAGCAAATGTCTCATTGAAATCAACACCAGCAACTTGTGAGTATCCTTTGGCAACTAGCCTTGTCTTATATCTCACAATATCACCCATTGCGTCCCTCTTGGTTTTAAACACCCACTCACAACCAATTGAAGATCGATTTCATGGAAGTTGAATCAATTCCCATGTTCCATTGCTCATGAGAGATTTGTACTCTTCTTCCATAGCCTCCTCCCACTTCAACGCATTCGTAGACTTCATAGCATCACATATATTCAATGGATCAGCAAGGAGTGCAACATTTGCATGTTCTTCACTTACTTGACGAAAGATGTGGTCCTTCCACCATTCACCATGTTGTTTTCTTTCTCTTGTGGGA